GCAAGACACCTTACAACTCTTACAAACGACACAAACACAAATTAAAGCCTAAAACTGCTTTCCAAGAGATGAAGGATACAATGGAGTGGATACTTGCGGAGAGACGAAAGAGATTAGAAGCCGAGAAGAAGGGTGGAAAGAACTCGCGAGTCTCCCCGAGAAATAGAAGAAGAAGTAGAAGAAGAAGCTCTCAAGCTCTTCCAAGAAAATCCGCAGACTTCTTTTCAAAAATTCTTTCTTAACATTACTTTAAAAAATTCCAAAACATCTCATATTTATAGACATGAGAGGGGAATACAAACAGCCACTTCAATGATTTCCCACAGGAATCCAAGCATCACAAACCACGGAAAAGCCCCCCCAACCTCACGGGAAACAGCCCAACCATGGACCCAAAGAGGCAGCCGCGGAAACCCAAGAGGCCAGCACGGAACCGAGGCACCAAAGAACGGGAAAGGCCACCCAGCAGGAAAACCAGCAGCCAACCGTGGAAACCAAGGAGCCAAGGCACGAAAATAGCCAACCATGGAATCCAAGGAGCCAAGGCATGAAAAACAACAAGCACAGGGAATCCAAAAACCATTTTGGAAACCCAAGGGACAAACTACGAATTTTAAGAGACAAAACTATAAATAAAGAACTACATAAATAAGAAAATAAATGAACTAAAACCTAGCTACGAATAAGCTAACCTTTAGTTCAATAAATGAACTAAAAACCGGCTCATAATGAGCTAAATTTCAGCTCAAAATTTATTGAGCTAGCAAACTCAAGGGAAGTCAAAACCAAATTTTTTTTTGGGTTTGATTTGAAGCTACATCAAAATGCCTTTGGCAAATGTCTAGCCCTGTTCCTCACATGTAAGACCTCATTTTTTGGGGTTCTATCTTTTGATTTTATTAATGTAGCATAATTTTTTATCCATTTACATATCTAACACTTAAATCTTTATATTTTATGTTATAACAAACTAGCGACAAGATCATATCGGACCTTTACATGACAAAGAGTATTTCACTTCCGATATATGAATGTAAGGGGCAATTTTTATGTGATTTAGATATGAAGATATAGGAAAATAAACTATAAGGCTTTATGTATTAAATATATAACTACGTATGAATCTATGATGCACCGACACGAACACGACACGACACGGACACGGACACGGGACACGGCAATTTTTAAAAATATAGGACACGAGTGCGGCGTGGACCGACATAATATTTTTTTAATAAAATATATAATAATTTTTAAAAATTTAGGACACGAACACGGCGTGGACAGATGGCTCTTTTGAACCTTCACCTAATCCACCCCCGCCAGTAGCAGAGCTCATTTTGCTAACAAACCAATCATACATATGAATACACCAAATTAAATTGATATGAATTGAAATCAAAATATCCCAATAATAAGACAACATGAATACAACAATATACCAGTCTGTCGCGGGGTCAAGGGGTAGGCCCCTGCGGCGGTTTCCGGGGGCGCTGCCCCCGAAACAAAATTTTATTGTAAGAGTAATTTTGAAGTTCTGCTTGTTTTAAGTTCATAAATTATTTGTATGAGAAGATACCGAGTGGTACCAAACATGTACCTAGCAATACCGAACATGTACCTAGCAGTACCGGGCATGTACCTAGCAGTACTGAGCGGTACCGAACATGTACCTAGCAGTACCGAACATATACCTAGCATTACCGAATATGTACCTAGCGGTACTAAGCGGTACCAAGCATGTACCTAGCAGTACCGAGCATGTATCAAGCGGTACCGAGCATATATTGAGCAGTACTGAGCATGTACTAAGCGGTACAGAGCATGTAATGTGCGTTACCGAGCATGTACTGAGCGTTACCGAGCATTTACTGAGCAGTACCGCGCATGTACTAAGCGATACCGAACATGTACTGAGCGGTACCGAGCATGTACCTAGCGGTACCGAGCATGTATGTAAAACCCGAAAATCCTATTTTAGGCTTTGCACGCTTTTTAAAGCGCCGCGACGAGAATTTAAGTAAAATTTTCAAGGTTAACGGAATGTAACGGAATTAATTTTAAAAAATCTTACGCGAAATTCTGATGGTTTTGGTATATAGAAGTTATACCAAATTTTGCCTAATTAGAGAGTTATTATTTTTAGAAGTCTCTAAATGCCAACTTTGCCCATAGGTTTTTCTTAAGCCGAATTTACTTAAGGGTAATATGGTCATTTAGCAAAACCTAAATCCTCTTAATAGCTTAACCGAGCCCTACCTCTCCATTTTCACGCGTGAAACCGAGCGGACCGAACAGGAGCGGACGGACGGGCGACGGGCGGCTTCCGCGAGGGCGCTCCGGCGACGATTTTCCGACGAGAGCTTTAGGTCAAATTGAAGAGGGCGACGAGAGGATTACTCCGGTATGTTTATTTTCAAGCGAAACTTCCTATATCTCTAGATATTTGGAAAAGAATTTTCTAGGGTTTTGTAAGATTTTCGTTTTCTTTCGTAATTTCTTTACAAGAACTCTAAGGAAATATTAGATGAATGTTTTAGCAATGAAAATGAAGTAATTTGATGAATTTTTGGAAGATTTAGAAAGTAGAATTTTTGACCTAAATCTTAATTTCATAAGAATCCTTTACGAAAATGATTTTTAAGGGTTTAAGAAACGTTTTTAAAGCATAAAATTTGTCTTTTTATAAAAATTTAGTTTTCTTGTAATTCTCATTATTTTTAATCCAAAAATATTATTATAATTATGTAATTGTGTTAGGGATCAATTTTAGATCAAAGAATTGATGAAATTGGAGGTTTATGAATTTCCAAATTTTAGGTATTTAATTAATCCGAAATTAATAGCTATTTATTTAAAAATCTACTAAGTGTCGTAGGAAAAATGAATGATTTGACATGTCTCTTTTAAAATCATTTTAGGCTTTGAACGTTAAGGAGAAACGACAAGTGTTGGAACGACGTCGTACATCGTAAAAGTCTACTTTGAGAATTTAAGGTAGGTGTTCAGAACCAGTTAAATTTATAAGTGCTTCAAATTTCTTATTGCTAAATGTATTTCATGTCTTTATATTTTTATTAGTTAATGTTTTAAATTCAGTAATTTTACAAGTTTATGTCTTTATTATTTGCATTAACTGTTGAGCATATGGATCATAAGAAAGGCATTTAGGCATGAAAATATTGAGGCTTATGAAAGGAGATTAAATGGAAATGAAAAGTTTTAATGAAATAAATTTTCATGTGCATGTTGATCCGGAAGTGCCCAACAAATGGTAATGGGGCTTGTAAAAGCCAAATGGTAAAGGAAATGGCCACAATTTGACTGCGTACCTGATCAGTACGAAAAAGGAGACTTCCGGAACGGATGATACATTTAACATATTCATATTGCACTTTGCATTGCATATAAAATAGATTAAAGGAAAGAATGAAAGGAAAGCAATGTTTATGAAAAAGAAAAATGACACTATATGTTATGAAAATGCTTAATTGTATGAATCAGTTTCTAATTGTAAATGTTTTTAATTCATGCATCTTATGAAATTAACTGTATTATGAATTACCTGCTGAGCATTAGCTCATTCCTCGTTTTGGATATATTTTTCAAGAGAGAAATAATGGTTGCACGACGACCGTATACTTATCGTCGTAGGGGACCTCAGGAGGAAGAAAGGTTCCATTTTTTTTATATATTTTAAGTCTAAGTTGAGTTTGTATCTGAGTTTGATTGGTAAGTGAAGTTTATATAATTTGATGTGTTGACAGTTTTTATTGGTCTTGAGATATTTGAACAAGTTTGGAACTATCTGAATTTAATGTGTTAGTGGCTCTTTCTTGTATTGGATGATGATTATGAGGTCAAATTAATGTTTTTAATTAGAACTGTTTATGTTTTATTTATGTTTTTCTGTACGACCTTTTTGCTCCCGCCCTGTTAACTCGGGCTAGCCGGGTCGGGTCGTGACAATGTACCTAGCGGTACCTCATTTAATAACTGGACACACGTGTCCGATTTTAATTTTAATTTTTTTAATTGCAACAATTCAATGCCGTGTCGGACATGTGTCCATGCCGTGTCCGACACATGTCCGACACTGCATACCCTCTTTAAGTGTCGTGTCGGTGCATCATAGGTATGAATTCAATGGTATGTATGTAAACACCCCCTAATTTTACTCACTCATCTTATAGGAATATCTTGTATTCACATTTATAAATGCACAAATCAATATTTATTTCCTACTCTATTTATCTTCAATAGGCGTTCTACCAACAACTGCCTAATAACATCGTTTCTCAACATATGCTTCCTAATATTAATAGATCTGCAAGGACCACATATATGATATTCAAAAATGTAAGGGCCCCTTTAGAAAATAGTTCTTAAAAGAGTTGTTTAAATAAGCTAGTTAAATACAATTCAGAGTTTGAAAAAAAAAATATTTTAAATGCAACTTGATTAACTAGAATCAGAATGGATGAGGAGAGATAATGATTGAAATAATGATGATGTCTTGAAAAGGAAATCCACATTGATGAATTCGTATTTGCAGTTGCTTCAATTACAAATAAAACACACAACAAATCTGCTATAAGAGGACCAAAGCAGTTGCAATTCTTTTGGAAGAAAATGAAATAAAAGAATTTCAAGAAGAGTGGGGTTACAACCCCTATATTTTCATCTTAGGCTTGGAAGTACCCATTTTTTGGTGAAAACTTTTTTCGGATACGAATAAACTCTTTTTATCAACCCAGCAAGAAATTTCATCGAATGAATTGTTCATCTTTATATCGGAAAATATCAAACCATTATACGTTTAAATCTTAAATAAACACAAAAAAGTCAAAACCACTAAAGAACAAATATAGTTACAATAAAATGAGTAGATTCAAAATGAATTATAAAGGAAGATAGCAGTTAAATAATTAGCATAGCATACAAACATAATTTTAAGGTGATAGCATTAAAAGACAATAAAAATAAACAGCGGAAACAACCTTAAGTTTAGTAAACTGATCAGCTAATGACAGCTCCTCATGAATCATATCCATTAACCTACAAACAAAAAAAGCTTTTATAATATGAAAGTCAAAGATATTTGACAAACTAAAAATATACAATTTACAGCAATAACAGAGAATACTGGTGCAACATTTACATTGGAATGCTTATGTGGCAGCACTCAGGAGAAGTTCAAACAATAAACAAGGCCGCCACATTTTAATTTAAGTAGACTCAAGAAATATATAAAAAAAAAATCTAAGCCCCAAAGACGGATTAAAAAAAATGTTATCGATAAACTTCTAATATTCATTGTACAAGTGTATAACCTTTGTATCCCATACAATGCAGCAGATCAAACTTAATACACAGACCGATGCGAATCCATGCAAATACCTTCAAACAGCATCTATAGTTCTAGGATGAAAAAATAGGCAGAAACCAGCTAATGAATTCTTTGTTATTAGAAGAAACTTGCATCTATCCTAGAAAATATTCATTAGTATAACATTAACAAATGGTGCTTGAACCTTAATTAGTTTAGTCCCGAAGTATGTTTTGTACGCATTTCATATATGCAATAAAGATATTATTTACTTTCTTAATAATCCTAAATTCGTAATGCATTTTAAAGTTATATTAAGCTGAGTCTTTATAAAAAAAAAATTCTAGTTTTGTATGAAGGTACACTTTAATGATAAATGATGAAATCAAATTTTATCTTCTTCAAGATTTTCTTCTCTCTCCCCTCGGGCGCTTCTTTTAATATATGTTCATCTCGTCTTTTAACTTCTGTAGTGTTGCTTGTAATCAATATGGCATCAGAGTTCACCTCAATCCAGCTGCCTCAACCTCATTCGCTTTGATGTTTAATGCTTTAATTTCCTGTAGTTAAACCATGCTTTATGACGGGAACAGATGTAGAACGGGTAGGAGGCTTTGCTAGGGAGAGGATCTCTTCTCCAAAATCTGACAGCAAGTTCTGATTTCTTTGCCCAAAACCTGAGAAGAATCTCAGATTTTCTCTTGAGAGGGGAGGGGAAGCAATCTCCAAGCTTCTTTCTCTTAAAATCTGAAAACCGCTTCAGCTTTCAATCAAAATCTGAGTGGAGTCTTCAGATTTGGAAATTCTGGGCAGCAACTTGTAATGCTTGGGACGTCTGGACAGCAGCTACCATGGATTCCAACCTTAGGATTGTGGGTGGGATCAATCCAGAAATCTGGCCAGCATGCAGGAGGCGGAATCTCCAGGGATTTCACAGATTTTTCTCACAAAATCTGAGAGGAATTTCAGCAGGTAATAAATAGAGGAAGTGCACTATGAGGGGTCAGCGGTGTGGGCTCAAAATCAATTGTGAATTGGGGAAGGAGAGGAGCTATGAGAGAAAGAGGAGAGAGACGGGTGGGAGAGAGAGGGGGCTGGCGGGATTGAGAAGGAAGAGGGAATTCTACTCCTTGAATCCGTGATATGAATTAGGGAAATATAATAGGAAATAAAGTCCAGGGAGAATTCGGCTAGGGGCTGTGGAGTCAGATTTTTTTTTTTTTTGGAGAAATTTCCAAAGGTTTAAGCTGCAGAGGGAATCAATTAGCAGAGAAAGGCAAGGGAAATTTCGGTTATGATGGATTGGAGGGATTTTGAATTATTTCCTAAATCTAGACTTGATTTAGGAAATAATTTGAAATAGGATTTAATGAGGGTAAAGGGGGGGCCGGCGGCATTCATGGGCAAGGGGGAGTAATTTGTAAGAACAATTATGAATTCCTAATTTAGGTTTTAGATTTAGAAAAGAATTAATTTAAATCATCATGAATTTAAATTTCGAAATTAGATTTAAATCAATCACTTTCCTAAAATAGAATAGCTAATTTTAGGAAATATTTTGAATTCAAATTTTAAACAATTTGAATTTCAAATTAAGTCCTAATATCATTTACCCCAAATTAGGAAACTCAAGAAGGAAGAGGGAAGGGTGAGGAAGTTTGGAAATAAATCCAAGTGGATTTATTGGAGGGGGGCCGGCGGCATCATGAGGGTGGGAATTTAGGGAGAATTAATGAGGGTTTCCAAACCAGGCTAATTTAATTTGGAGGGATTAATGACTCATCTCCTTGCAATTCAAATTTGAATTTTGAATTGGAGAGTTAAAACATTCCAAATATGGATCAAACCCATTTAGAAAAGATTTCAAATTTGAAATTGAAATCCAAAATTGTCATGGATTTTCCCTCTCGATTTTGCCAACCCAATATGGAAGGAGGAATGGCCATGGGAAGAAGAGGGGTGAGGCCGGCGGCTAGGGTGCCAAGGCCGGCGGTTTGGAAGATTTTCTGGTGAGGTGGTCGGCGGCTTATGGTGGAAATGGAGACGACGTCTTGGAGATGGAGAAGATGAAGGTGGACGTAGGTAGAGGATGAAGACGACGGCTAGAAAATAAGAAAGAACAAAACAAATACAAAAATAGAAGATAAAAACCGCGAGCCTTGGACTCTTCTGGAGACTGACGGGTGATGCTTTGCCCTTCTCCAAGGGACTTCAAGTCACGAGCCCGAACCCATTCTGCGACTGGTGAAACTCCGATTCCTTCTCATAGGAATCTCACTATCGTCCTCTCAAAAGAACACAAGTGTTGAATACAAATTTTAATATCAATAATACATCCCCATTACAATAGCTACAGGCCATATATATAAGCAACAACATAAGAAAACTCAAAATACAAAATTGCCCTTTGGGCCACAACACTCACATAAACCAACCTAGGGGTAAAACATGAAATACATCAAATAAGAACTAAAATTCAGAAAAATAACTCATAATTGAAAATTTAAATTATAGCCATCGATTTACGACGCCTCCTGTGATAGATGCGTCAAATCTTCGTACCGATGTCCGCATCAGGAACTGCTTGCGGTTGGCTCAACCTCACAAGATTTCCTGCAAGATTACATCGTGTAACTTCCATGTTCTTTTGCTCAATCATAACCTAAGCATAATGAATCGACCTAAGCAACAAGTCAATCCCAACTTCCAAGTTGATCCCACCTTAAGATGTTATCACATCCTAAACCCCACCCAAAAGCGTCCTTAGGCATCTGCCTCCATCTAGATTAACCACATCAGTGCAGGCAAAGATTGCACGACCTCGCTTGTACGCACTTCGTTCCATGCTCCATCAAAATCCACAGCACACTCCTCTTGGCAATGTGCATCTATGCTTGCAAATGAACCCAAATGGATGAGCAAATATAACAAGATTAAAATAAATTTAGCAATAATAACATACATAAAAAATCATAAAGACCCACAATCCCAAATGAACCCCCATGTCCACGGAAGATGGGGGTTATTATTGCTAAGAATATAAATGTAAAGTTAAACAAGCAAGATAATCAATTGTTCATCCACAAGCTCCTTCTCAAAGTCTTCCTTACAAAATAAAGCGTCGAGAATAAATGTAGGTGAAGATGAAATGCTGTAAATGCAGTTTCAAAGCCAACCAAATCAAATGTAGGTACAGGTTGTTGTATTACAAGTTTAATTTCAGGAACAAACTCCACTTCAAACAAGTTACACAAGTTGGCAAATAGTTAAGGAATTCAGGATTAGTACAAATAAGCTTTCATTTGAACTTGCCATACCCCGGCTCAAAGAGGCAGGCTTGGAGGTGCACCCAAAAAGTGACTTCTAAATAATGCTCTATTTTGCACAAATTCTAATCATATTAACTTTAATCTACCTCATTTACTTCTTAATTATTCCATATTAATTTTATTTATTCATCTTAACGGTGCCACTGCTATATATTATAAAGAAAGGTGCTACTCTAAAGGTGCTACTGACATTTTTTTTTTTGCTCAAATAAAAAAATAAAAAAAATTATAAAATGCTCAAATCACCTGAGTCTATTTTTAATTAGATTTATCTTCAATATGTGCTACTCTAAATAATAAATGGAAACAATGGGTCCCAAAATCAAACCAAGAAAAAACAACAGTTCACAAAAAAGAGAAAAAAATAAAACATTTGAAAAGTAAACTAGAACTTCACGGAAGTCATAAATAGTCTAAGCGTAAAACTATTAAAAGGGTAAAAAACATTTTAAAACAAGAGATGGTATTGATAATTACAGGTAAAGATCAACTTCTTCAATATTGATTAGAGCACCATTAAGAGCCATCAATGACTTGCCAGCTGGAACCATTCTCTGGTTTGTGATAATTTCTTCCTTAATGGAATCATTAAGCTGCATATTAAAACGGGAGCAGATTATAACCATTGAAATCTAAATGTCTGACAAATTGATTGCATAAATGAATGCAAGGTATAGAGAATAGGTAGAACAGTTAGCAGGACTCACCTTCATTCGAGACAATGAGGAAACAATGCTTGGAAAATTCTGGTTTATTTCTTGCATTGACTGCAAGGGATCCAATGCATGCACAATTCTTTGAGCAGTTTGATGGCCCAGATCTACAGGAAGATAATTGTACATAATCAGTTACAAAAAGCAACAGAAATTTTTATCAAGTGAGAAAAGTACTGAAGTTGTTGATATGTCTTCACCGTCAGATATTCACAATAAGAACGATAGAAAAATGATAAAAAAACATTACCCTTCAGCTCCCAAACTTCAAGGGTGTCTGATATAGTTGATGATAATAAGTACTCTCTGAAAGACATAATCTCACCAGTCAGCTCGGGTCTGCGTTCCTGCAAATTCAAAGATTAGAGATGTGGCAAATTACCCTTAGAATAAGTGGTTCAAAACATGCAATCTTCGCAAAAAAGGTTTGTAATTTCAGAACAGTACAACAAACCAAGATTTTTGAGAATATAAATCCACTAATTTCTTGGCTTAGATCCTCTGTCTTTGGATCTTCTAAAGTAACACCTGCAAATAATGGATGTATAGCTTTACAAATTCTAAACAAACAAAAAGGTAACAATGTAAAGAGATTCCACAAATTTTATAAAGCATGTTGATGGACGGCATACTCATGATCAAGTCCTGACTAAAATAAAGAAGAACATGCCAAACAAAAAATTAAGATCTAAACATTGTTGAAATCCATTCGGGTTAGAAGGCCCAATTAAAAATAAGTCATCCGTCGTTTCAACGCTCTTAAATTTTGCATTAATTTTCTTAATAACATTTCATCGATGATGTAACAACGGATTATCCAAGAATATAATTCTGCCTAAACATAGATCCCAATCAAATGATTTTTAAACAGAATAACAGCAAAATTGCATAACTTCAGAAGCAGTAACCCTATCCCAACAACAGGATTCAGCTTCATATAGTCTCCATAGCTATTAATTCCCGTAAATGAGCAATAAAATATGAAATTTAAAACATAGAAAAGAGAAGGAGCCATGCACTATTGGAAATTCAGATTGGGTGCCTAATGCAAACATAAAGAACCAAAGCCACAACTGAGAAGTCAAATGCGAGTGGAACATGAAACACTGGACAGCATGAATTAACCTTTCTTTATTGTACTATCATCCATAGCTTTGTACTCCATGTTCTTTAAAGCAAGCTCCACTCCATAACCGCCCAAGTTTACTGCATCCGAAGCACCAACAAAAGTGCAATAGCTATTGCTTGTAGCTTGGCACCACGAAGGTAAAACAGGCCTGGTAACATATTTAATTTTCCCCTATAGCAGCAGACTGATTATAAGATTTAAACTCAACAAAGAAGGGAGTAAATATGAGGTAACGTACGCCATACGAGTTCAAATTTAGTCATTAAAAAAAAGTAACAAAAGCTAGGAAATGTCAACACAAAACTATAACGGTGAGAATATGCAACGTGGTGCAAATTATTGAAAAAAAATAAGTAATAGAAAAACAGTTATCATTTCTCATTTAGTAATTGGTCATTCGCATAGGACGTCTGCCATAATGTATTTCTTGCAAATAGAATGGTGATATCGAAATCAATTTAAAATTATGGATACTACTGATTGGTAAAACAAAGTAGTGGCTAAATAACTGCACCATTTTAATTTCCATAAGAAAATATGGAAAATCCCTTACTTGACGATACCACATACAGACATACTCCTTTCTAAAATAAAGAGTTGCATAATTTTACCCTTCAAATCATATTCAACATGTGAAAGATTAAACATGATAAATGCAGCCGTGGCATCAATTAACAGAATGTCAGCGTAACTTCTGAAGCTTAAACTCCCATATCAATCCCTAAAACATCATGTGAAGCCATTAGCAAGAGATTTATTGATTGTTTGACAAATAAACGAAGTGGTGATAACATGTTTGCAGTTAAAAACAGGTTCTCCGAATTGCAAATCTTCTAATGTGAATCGACTAGGAATTACTTGAGAAATTAAAAGGAACAATTGATTAAAACTTGCTAATATACAATTATTGCTTGTAAATAAAGAAGAGTTAGTAATTCAACGTATTCAACTTGCTTAAGCAAAGAAGTGCTCTTGAGATTAACCAAACAATCCAATCAAATTTCAAAAACAATAGTAAATGTTACATGCACAAAACATAATCCACCACTTTTAATAACGAGAGGTTCACCTTGAGTACCTTCTCACTAAATCACTCGTAGGCTTTAGCAAGGAAAGACGAACCATACGAGGAAGGAGATTACCACTAGGAAGATGGCGCCGAAGACCTTCGTTGATGGAGCAGTAACCGGAGGTGTAGGAAGAGTGGATCGTCCAATGAGAAGCCACAGTGCTCTGGGTTGTTGAATCTCGATCATCTCGGCGAGGCAATAAATGATGTGGTTGACGTAGCTTTCCACCGACACTTCATACTCCCAATCTGGTTCGTAAAAAGGAGAACGGAGGATGTCGACCTCTCCTTGGGCGTTGTAGGCAAGACCGTGATCGACCTCAGGGTCGGCCATAAACTAAAGGAAAGAGGGAGGAAGAATCTTGCCTTCGGCTTGTGGTTTCAAAATACATGAGAGGCTTAGGGTTTCTAAGTGGCAAAGGGGGGGCCAAGGAGGGAGAGGGTAGGGGCGGCTAGGTAAGCTAGGATCTAGGTTAGGTTGGGATTGGGAGGGAAAGTTTTAATAAATCTGAAATTAATTCAAATTTAAGTGGATTTGGAGGGAGTTGGATTTGAATATTCAAATTCAAATTCAACCAATGCTTAGGATCCAAATAGGCAATCAATGGGTGAAGTCCATTAATGGGTCGGTGGCATGATGAGGGGAGGGAGTGGATTTGGAGAGCTTTTAGAAGTTTCCAAATATGGTTTACTAATTAAGGAGTGGAGTAATTAAATCCAATCCAATTTGAAATTAAATTGAATTTGGATTTAAAACTTTTCAAATATAGCTATGTAAATTAGGAAGTTATTTGAAATTCAAATTTGAATTTCAAATTGAAGAGTTATCTTCCTAAATTATTTGGTGAGTTTTGGTAAGTGGTAATGATGATGGAAAATCATCATTAATGGTGGGAGGGCCAAGGTGGCCAGCGGCAAGGTGATGGGAGGAACTTAGGGGTTTGGCTGGATGGGGGGATGGGGCTAGGTTGCCGGGTGGGCTTGAGGTGGTGGGGTTGTGGGATGATTTGGGTGGGGGAAATGGCTAGCGGTGGAAGGGCTAGGAGGAGTCAACGGGTGGAGTGGGGAGAAGAGAAGAAAAGCAAAGTAAAATAAATTGAACCACGAGCCGCAGACCCTTCCGACGACTGGTGGGTATTGCTCTTGCTCTCACTTTGAGCTCTCTCTCCCTTCTCTCTAGTGCTCACACAAGAAGAAGAAGAAAACACATGAAATTTTCATTATCCAATCATCATCCCATTACAATAGATGAGGCCTCAATATATAGGCCTAAAATAAAATAAAGGAAAAGACTCAAATGCCCCTTGGGCTACAACTCAAATAAACTCAAGTCAAAAGGTACAATCGAAACTTTAAAATAAATAATACATTAATGCATCAAAAATAAAGACCGTGAATCGTAGCCGTCGATCTACGATTCCTACGCCGATAAACTTGTCGTTAACGTGTGTCGATGTCCTCATCATCTTCACTCCGGCAAGACATTACTTTGCTAAAGTTGTCGGTAGCTTGGTTTTCCAGTATCTAGCACCTCAGAAAGGCCACTAAACTCTAATCATTTTTAATAAGTCCATGGGGAAGCTCGGTTACAATATAGCTGACTAATCATCCTCCAGACATAAAAATAAGCAAACAAAATAGTCAAAGGAGGTGTTACTATAGCCCAGTTGGGGGTACAAAGATCCAAACTACAAATTAATCTGACACATAAACACATAAGCGGTGGCTTTAGAGAACATTTCATCTTACATAAACTAAAACAGAACATTTTCCTCACAATCATATTAAGTGTTTCCTCTCTCTCTCTCTCTCTACATTTTTTTGTCTTGGGTAACAATCACAAAAGTTCAGAAGAATTGTCTCCCCGAAATTCATGCTGATTTTGGAGTTTGGACAGGGTACTTTTTCTTTTTGGAGCAAGGAATTGCCAATAAATAGAGCATATACGACACCGATTTATTCAAAACACATAAACTATCCGCCAACTGTTTGTTCTTTAACTTACTCTTCTCTTTCACTTCATTTGTTTCAATAGATTATTTTAAATTAGATTCATAAAAAGTGATTTTACATACTGCATAACAGATTAATCATCTACCTTGAAAAGCAAACAAGACTTATAAAACATAGCAGTCATCAATACCTATGAATTAACTTAAATTAAAAGGGAAAAAATTAAATCAAATGACTATATAGTTTGACTCTGCTGGCATAACATTAATAACAAATAAAAATAAGGTTAAAGCAATTATAGGATGAAATGCAGCAGGCTTTAAAAACACCTAAAAATTTTCAAAACGTCTGATTCAGTATAGAATAATCACCCTAACAAACTTAAAATTAAGATGGAAAATAAAATGATTTTACTGATTGGTGGAAGTATTCCTTTTCAGAGGGTTAATACTCATTGCAAAAGTAGTCAGTCTAATACTTACAAAAAAACAATATAGTTAGGGACATTCTTTCATTAATGTCAACCCTAATTACATCATAATCATTTCCATAAAAAATAAAAAATGTAAAATTTGAGGAAGTTAAAGATCGTTAGAAGTTCCAAAAGGTTCTCAAGAATACTAAAAATGCTAAGTGCCATTTGTACCCCTTAATGTGTGATCCCTATAGAAGCATCATTGCTGTTTAAGTGTTGAACTAAAGCCAAGTCTACAAATGATTAATGCTTTCAAAATATTATACGCATGGTTTTAAAAATTGGACCGGACCAGCCGGTTCAACCGCAAACCGATGATATTTAGTCGGCTAAGTTCATCTAAAAAATCGGCCCTATATGAACTGATTAGAACTACAGGTTCGATTGGCGAACCGATCCCGATTTCTAAGAACGAACCAGTTCAATTATTATCCTACTTAAATAATTTAATTTAATAAATTTAGTATAAAATTTAAATTACATATTCAATTTAAAAATTAATTTAAATATAACATATTTTTATTTTATAATGAGCATTAAATTTATACAATGATCATTTAACAACCAAGCACCAACAAAACATAACCACATGATCCCACACACCCATGTAAGTTCCTAACGCATGCAAGCAATTAAACCATCAAGCTTTTATCCGTCTACGTTGGGTATGACTAAATGAATCTTTTTTCTCCATTGTGTCCTGTTAAGAGTCAAATTTTTATTTAAATCTAATAAAAAATGTCATATCTAATATTTTCTAACCAAGTCTTTTTAGGTCTACCTCTACCTTTATGAACATAAGTCAAATCTAATACATCTACTCTCCTAACCGAGTCATTGAAACGCCGACGTTTTAGGTGACCAAATTATCTAAGGCAACTCTCTCTAATCTTATCTGCCACTGGAGCTATGTTACATCAGGTCCCTCTTGGGTCGGTCCTGCCGGCCCTTTCCTGAACCAGCTCTTGGGGGCTGATTTGGAGGGGATTAATTAAGAAATATTTCCTAACTGAAGAAGGCAGATTTGGGAATTGATTTGGAGGGGATAAATTATGAAATATTTCTTAATTGAAAATGGCATATTTTGAGGCAGCTTTGGGGATTGATTTGGAGGTGATTAATTAGAAAATATTTCATAATTAAAGAAAGCAGATTTTGGGGTTGATTTGAAGGGGATTAATTAGAATATGTTTCCTAATTGAAGAGACCGTATTTAGGGGTTGATTTGGGAAGAAAATATTTAAGGAAATAGGGCATATTTGGGAGGGAATTGGGGGAGGGCTATTTGGGTATATGTCGTTTATTGTATGTTTTAAGTAGGGGGTTTTGCCTAGGGTTAGGGATATGTGTTTTTTTACTAAAATTAGATTGTTCTTAGGGTGTTTGAGCTCTAACTGGCGGCTAGAGATTTGGGAAAGCTGGATTGATGTGATTCCACATGCGAAGGAGCTTCTTAAGAAAATTAAAAGTGATTGACAATTGAATTACAATTAAGAGCTTATTGAGATAACAAGTAAAATCATTAAAGGTTCTTAGTTGTTAACTTGCTTAGGCGAAGGAGTACAAGTAGATTAACCAAAAACTCATGGATAACCAAGGATAGTAGCAATACCAAAAGCTATTAATCAACAATCCGGAATTTAATAAAGAGAGTTTTCACCTTGGGGATGGATC